TTATTTATTTATTTATTTATTCATTCATTTTGTGTGTGCAGCCAGCTCAGCCCACCAGGGGGCAGGGCTGGCTGGCATGTGGTGCTGGGGGACTGAACCGCGGTCCCTGTGTTTTGCTTACCTTAGCTTGTTCTAAGTAGGTGCTTTAGACCACTGAGCCATCTCACCAGCCCCTCTATCCCCAATTCTTAAAAAAAAAATATTTTTTTAAAAGACATAGTCTTATTAAATTGCTCAGGCTGGGCTAAAACTTGTGAGTCTTCCTGCCTCAGCCTCCCAGACTACTGGGATTGAAGATATTCACTGCCACTGGCTTCCCCCCACCCCCTTTCACTATGACGTTCAGGCTGGCCTTGACTGGGAGCAATCCTCCTGCTTTAACCTCTGAGTACTGGAATTGAAGGCATGTGTCACCATGGCCAGCTTGTCTGCTTTGAGTGCTTCAGATTTTTATTTTACTTTTTTCTCACAAAAAGAGCTCAAATCCATTAACCAGGCCAATTTATTAACTGGTGAGCAACAGAAAATATGCTCATCAATATATAATGTCATGGTTTGTGTCTGTATGTCCCTCCAAAGCCTCAAGCAGTCCCAGGGTAGGTTGTAGAGTGTGGGGGCATTGTGGCTGTGAGTGCTACACTTGCCCTGGGGCTGGAAGCCTGTGTACAATATAAGGAAGGGAAAGAGACTTGCTCTTTCTGTTCTTTTTGCTTTTTTTGCTTTTGCTGTTTGCAGCCATGAACTGTTATCCTCTACCACATGTTACTCTGACTTGGAGCCAGCTGGATGTGGACTGAAACCTTCAGAAACTGTGAGCTAAATCAACCTTTCTTCCTTAGTTTTGGGCACTGGGTCTTTTGTCTCAGCAACAAGAGAAAAGTAACCAAGACAAATGTACTTACTATGCAGGTGGCTCACCAATACAAAAAGTATGATAAAAATGGATTCTGGAATCTTACAATCTAGTCAGAAAGCAAAGAAAAAGCAGGTTGCGTGTTAGCATAAAGCTCATTTACGATATTTTAAAATCCTCCTTTCCTTTTCTCTGTTTCTAAATTACCTAGGCTGGCCTCTATTTTTGGCCCTCCTGCCTCAGGCTCCCAACTGCTGGTATTTCAGGTGTATACAATGCCCGGTAAGCCGGGATTCTTACTGGTGTGAAGTTCAAAGGTTCAAGGTCAGCCATGATTCTGTGCGTGCGAGGAGCTAACAAAAAGCTCTAAGGAAGAAAACA